ATGACAGCTTGGGAAAAAGGGAAAACAGAATTTAAATGAAAACAGAAATAATAAACATAGGGACGGACAGAACAGCACCTCTTTCGTGCTGTTGCGAGGTGCTGTTCTGTCCGTCCCTATGTTTATTCTTTCTGTTTTTATTTAACTTCACCAACGCGCTTACGTCAAACTAAGTCAGAATTTAAAGCATGTAAAACATGGGAAATATTTGTTAATAAAAAACAAACTTGAAATGTCTTTTTCTTATCTACATCGAACAAGAGAAAAGAAGTGGCACTAGCTACTCAGATATTTGCTGTTTTCAAGAGCCAATCTGATTCACCGCGACTTACATCATCATGTGCGTGCTGCCAGCTTGCCGGTACAGTACTGCCAGTTCGCGCGTTTTCCTCACCGCTAGCTACGCACATACGTCCTCTGTCAGTGCAACAAATCATGCATTTCAAAGTGGGTGGCGTTCCTTTCACATCACGAACACGAGCAGGCGATTTTAGTTTAGTTTAGTTAAGGGCCCGCATGCCTTTATTTAGTTCCCCTGGTTCTTTCAACCAATGTAAGGCGCAGAAAAGAGGGGGAGGGGGAACAGTTTGCCGAATGACAGCCTTTGCATTTCGTAATTTATGCGATGCAAATGTCTACAAAACAGAAACATATGTGAGGAGTTGCTGTATCTAAAGGAACTTGGTGTCATGTGTATCTTAAAAACGACTTCTGCCACTAAAATGGTGTTGCGGGACAAAAAGGGAATGTTCGCCGCTCGACGCGGGAAAAGCCGAAGTGCCGATGCGGCAACACTGCATGCAGGTCACGGGCCGGCTTCTATCCGCAAACATGGCGTCGGTTGTGATCGTCAACGTAGACGGCGTGGTGGAAGCTCATCGTTGCGCGTAAAAGCGCTATCCTTGACTGTGATTTTTTGTTGTGTGTCACTATGATAACCCAGCACGTACTAGAAGGGAAGATCCATCTAATCGTGCAGCGATGTCGTGGCGGCACTCTCAAGACGGCAGAAACGCCCGTGTCGTTGTGTTTGTTTACTTCGACTACAGTGGTGCTTTCCAAGCATTTGTGTTTTCGAACATCGCCCGGATTTCTTATTTGGAGCATTTCATGCCAGTGCTAAAGTTGAAGGTATTACTGGCGCGTACCGTATAAAGGATGCGAATTTTCATGCGATTTTCATCACCGGAGAAAAGTGATTAGGGTTAGCAATCTTGAATGCTCGCAACGTCCGTCCGCGACCCGCGACGCTGTTAAAAGGTTGCGCCAGGCAAAAGTCGCTCATTTCTTTCAAAATGTGTGACACACTTGAGAGAGAAGTGTACTAGTCTGGTGAAATAAAGAGTTTCCTCAAACTAAGCTTTATTTTTCATCTAACATAAAATAAATTCTTTTACAAAAGTAAGTTGCCTCATGGCATGTATTTTGGCCTGAAAAACTTTATGTTTTGGTTATAGCGTGGTACCGCTTATACACCAACTCACGTTTACAAACAAACCGGAGCGCCCGGAGCGCCCCCAGCGGACGCCACCAGCGCCGCGCATGCGCGATGGGGGTGTGGGCACGAAGCTCGCCGTCGCTCATAAACAAACCATTGGAATGGGATGTTGTCGGCGTCCAATGTGAGTCCCCGCGCTCTTTTTCGCGTTCGAATTGTTGATTCTACGTCCTCCTAACGATGTCTGACCACTTGAGCGGCCTCAGTGAAATTAACGAGGCTCGTTACACTGCAAAACTTCGCGTGAATAACCTGACATGCGGCGATTCATTCCGCGTGGACGCCGCAGAATGTAAACTAAAGCCTGATTCAGAAGATGGGATTTCGCTCGCAACTTTCAGTAGCGACGTTGCTCGGACTGAAAAAGCGTGAACCGTAGCTGAGATGGTCGACGTCGATATTGAAAATCGCAAGAAAAATCGGACCAAGTGAATCAGGCATAACAAGTCGGTGATGGCAACTGGTAACAATGATCAACATAACCTTGTATCTACTCTTTACGTCCAGCCTGCTTACCAACCCTCAAAATTAAGTCTTTTGAGGCCTGCACCTACTTTTTATCGCAAGTACCGGGCCCACGTTTGGTCTACGGGCCGGTGTTTTCTAAAAGAGCAGACGACAAGCAGAAACGTTTGAAAGAGCAGACGACAGTTCGAACGATCAGGCGACCGTTTGAACTTGAAGACGCACTGAACGTAGTTTGCAGGTGGTCCGTACAACTTGACGGTTTTCCGGCATTTATTTTGGAACAAAATAAATAAATCTGATGGCCAGAAGTATTTGCGAAATCAACCCAAAATACTTCCCGCCCAAGCAATCGTGGTCCGACAACGTCTGGTTTTCCCTTTTCATGGCATATATCCACGTTCTCGGACGAATTGAGCGCATGCAAACTGACCTTCAAACCTTTCTCGACCCTTTTGGTACAGCCCCAGTCGCAGCATTTTGACAAGAAGGCAGGTTTTTGTCAGGTTCCTTTCAAAACAACGCAGGAATACACGTCTCAGATGGGCACTTCTGCCCACAGCCCCGGACCGGAAGCGCGTCCGACGCGAAACCACCGCGCTGTGACATAACAGAGATGAGTTTGTGTACAGTGCAGATTTTTGCGACTCCCGCGACATACGTTATATGCGGTCACACTGTATCTGGTTTTAGACTTGTATCATCCGTAGTTTTGGTTGTTCCACTACTGTACAGAATGTTTAATCCTGTAACAAGCGATACGAGACTTGAGAGGGACCCATTAACCCTCTAACCACCCGGCCCGAGCTGTACTCGTCATGAAAGGTTGTACCGATATTGCCGATGACGAGTCACACTCGTCCAGTCAAAATAATGGTTTGGTTTTACTGCCAAACGCGAGACAGGTTCGTCGATCGGCTTTAGTTTCAATTTTCAACACTGGAGGGCAGGAGAGGTCGCGCAAATAAAGCGTGTTTTGGCCTTTGGCGCGTATCTAGCCTTGCAACAGTGATCAGAAATGGCAGCACGCTTGAGTGATGCCGGTAACGGCCCTCGGAAACGGGCTCTCTCTTGCGGCAGTTCAAACAGTAGCAACGATGAAGACATTGAATTTGTGTCTGAAAGCGGGTCGGACATAGATTTTGAATACGAAACAGACTTAGACGACCACAGTGCCGAAGAAGATGGCGCACTGGGTAGTGTTCGAGTGTGGCAACGCGTAAACACTGAAAACCCGCCACCCGCGCCTCCGAGGTTTCCTTTTGTGCAGTGCCTGGGATTCTGCGGCAACCCACTGACGAAAAAGACATTCTTGGCTGGTTCGAGGTTTTCTTTGATTGGGATCTTGTCAACCTCATTGTGACAGAGACAAATCGCTACGCGGTCCCGCATTTCGCTGCGCGGGGTTCTTCGTGGAAACCGGTGGACCGCGAGGAGATGATGGTGTTCCTTGCGCTAATAATTTTGCAAGGAATCGTTGGCAAGCCGCAAGTTGAGTTGTATTGGTCAACAAAAGAAGTCTTGGTGACGCCGGTGTTTAGCAAAGCAATGAGCAGGAACCGCTTTCAGGCACTGATGCGCTGCCTTCACTTTACCAGCTTGACGACTATGGACGAAGCAACTCACCTGAACCCGAAGCTGTGGCCTGTGCTTTCAAGGCTGAATAAGGCCTTCCTTGCAACCTATGCGCCGGAGCAGGATGTGTCCGTTGATGAGAGTCTCCTGCTATTCAAAGGAAGACTGGCGTGGAAGCAATATGTACCACTCAAACGTGCAAGGTTTGGTCTGAAATTCTTCCTACTGTGCGAATCCTCCAGCGGTTACGTCTGCAATTTTATTCTCTACACTGGAAAGGGGACGGTAGATGTGGATGGCAAAGAAGCGATTGGCACCAAGGTGGTAATGGAACTCATGAAGCCCATTCTCGACAAGGGGTACACCTTGACGATTGACAACTACTACAACTCGCCCGAGCTAGCCGACATGCTCGTCAAACGAAAAACTGACGTATATGGAACAGCTTGTCCTGGAAGAAAGGAAATGCCCGAGTTCAAAAAGATAAAGTTGAACAAAGGGGAGGTTGCTGCCTTTCAAAGCGGGAAATGTCTCGCTATGCAATGGAGAGACAAAAAGCTTGTAACCTTTCTAAGCACGGTTCCCTCAAGCACAATGCAAGATGCTGTCATTTCTAAGAACGAGCAAGTTTCAAAGCCTACAATCGCTCTCGACTACAACAACACAATGGGTGGCGTCGACCGCTCAGACCAGAACATGTCTTACTATCGATCACTACGTAAAGGGCAAAAGGTTTACTACAAGAAACTGTTTCGCCACCTTCTTGACATTTCCATCTTCAATGCCTTTTGCCTATACAAGAAGCAAGGTGGAACATTGAACCATTTGGATTTCCGCGTCAGACTTGTAGAGTTGCTGCTTCAACACTACCTCGATAGTGAAGGACGACCAAGGCCAGGCCACAGATCTGACTGCGCCCTAACAAGACTCAAGGGCCGTCACTTCCCTAGAAAAATCCCGCCAACTCCAAAAAAGCAGGAGCCGACACGGAGATGCGTTGTGTGCACACATGCCCATTCAAACAACTCGGGAAAGAAGCCACGCAAAGAAACGAGGACATGGTGCGAGGACTGCAAAGTAGGGCTTTGTGTGAAGCCCTGCTTTAAAATCTACCACACGAAAGCGGACTTCTAAACTTACGGAACTTTTTAGCGCTAGTATGGAGAAACGTCTAGGCACTTGATCTTTCATTATGGTGCGTATGTTCAAATAAATACAGCGCATTTTGGCACGTGTTATTCTATTACTCTTACATGCACTGAGGGAAGGCTTCCATAAAAAATAACTTTTTCTTATAAAAGTTTTGTGTTAATACCTGTCAGAAACCAATCAAGTAATGTATTTGCAAAATCAGAACGACATAAGAAAAAATATATGCAAACAAAAAAATTTGGGAAAGTTTGTACATTTTTTTTGAAAATAACTTGGTGGTTAAAGGGTCAAGTCTCTGTCGGCAGCTTACCCGTCACGGAAACAAAGGTCATCAGCATTTTCCCCTTCTTAGTCATTTTCAAAATATTCTCCGGGTTTGACGGATCGAGGTTGCTCAGGTCGATCTTTGGTGAGGGTCTCAAGTGCTCCGGAAGTTCATCTGGTTCGAGCGGTTCCTCATCTTCCTAGAAGAGGGTATATGTCAAGGTTAGGCATGCTGCGGCGAAACGGAAGCATTCTCTAGGTTTCCCCAATGAATATTTGCAATGCTGGTGGTATACCATTTCATAAATGCATTATAGAGTGCATTCATTGCTGCATTTGTGCACCTGGTGCAAGCACTTTCTGGCTGGCTGCTGTCGCAAGTGCACGTTGGGTGGAACGTGAGCGAGCAGAAATGAACCGCAATTTTCGTAAACAGTGGAATCATTTGCAGGGTGCGGTTGTAAGGACTAACACGCTTGGCACGCCTTGCAAAAATCGAATTTCAGACGTACGTGCCAGAAATTAGGCACTCGAGCATAGCCTCGCAAGGAGTTTTACGTCTGTTTTTTTTTTTACAGCTCAAACTTGGAAGTACTATGCAACTTACAACGATTATGAGAAAAACCAAAAATTCAATCGTTATAACCGATTATCGTTCTATCTGGACTAGAAACTGATCATTTCTAGTGTAGAAACTCTAGAAACCGATCATTATAAGTGCATTGCGCTGTAGTCGGAGGCTGTGTATTTTCTACGTCCTGTACCAGCCTGTTTGTCATCTGCACACTGGATTATGAGCTCGCTCTCAAAAGGTTTGCTATCGCAAAGACGCTGAAAACCATAGCAGAGACGCGACCAGCAAGATAATTGCGAGAATACTATTAAAAAAATGTATGAACAATGACCACCGGGGAGCAAGCTCACAAATCGGTGTGCAGACGACGAACGGCTGGTATAGGGCTTAGGAAATGCACAACCGCCGTTTTTGCTCCATTTTTTTTAAATTTTACCGCCCTTTATACACTAACAATGGGCGCCTCGTCGAGGCTTTAGCCGGAATGGCACAGACAAACAAAAAGCACAAATAAGAAAGTGCTATCACAAGAAAAAAATATACTGGCAGTGCTCCGCAATACATACAATATTTTAAGTAAAGACAAGGTGCTGTGTCATCAGCTATGGAGGAAAAACTAAAGTCCAGCAGAACCCTGACTACAGAACGAAAGATAACAAAAAAAAACAAAATCAATTGCAACAGTAATTAAAAAAAAAAAAAACGAACAAAAGGACTTGAACATGTTTACTATACAATATAAATATAATTTCTATTCAATCTGAGCTAAGAATAAAGACAGAGACGCACTGGTGACAATGTCAACAAATCCCATTCTCGAATAGTGTACGAAAAGAAGTGACTGGTGAAATGCGTTATTTGCAGCAGCAAACTCTCAAACTGACAAATGATGTGATCTTCTTGTTACCTGTAGTTAGAAGAAAGAAATGTATTTGTTATTGTTAATTTTTAGGTTGTCATTGACAATTAGGTATAAGAAGTTAAGTTGATCCTTCCGAAGTCTAGTGTCGAGGCACTAAAGTTTGGCATTCTGCAGGAGCTGGCTGGGAGATGCAGACCAACTGTCAGAGTTATAAATAAACCGAACAGCCTTTCTACGTATTTTCTCTAATTGATTATTTTCTTGAGTGTGACAATCCCAAACTACTGCTGCATATTCTAGGATGGGTCTTACCTTTCGTAGGACTTATAAGCAAGCAACTTTGTTGATAGACTAGAGCGCCCAAGCGACAGCCTTAGAAAGCAGTTCCTGAAACGCGCGTTGAGATATATAGTGTGGTTGTTCCATCACAGATAAGAAGAGAGGAGGACTCCCAGGTATTTGAAAGATCAAACTTTTTGCAACGGCACACCGTCTATAGAATAGGGAAATTGTGAAATGCTTTTTTTTCTGCGTGATACTCATAAATACAGATTTTTTTGCATTAAGAGTCATTTGGCATTTTTTTTTGCACCATGAATTAATTTTTTTCCAGGAAAATGTCAATGAGAAGATGGTTGTCATGGCTAGAGGTTTCGCTGCAAATAATAGAATCGTCAACGAAAAGATTCACCTGAATTGAAATGTCATCTAAAATATTGTTAATGAATGTTAAAAAAAATAATGGTCCAAGCACAGATCCCTGCAAGATCCCGGAGTCAACAGAAATAGGATCGGAAATTGATCCACCAATAGCAACAGCCTGGCGACGAGAGATAAGGTAGTCACTAATCAAATTTATTAACATATAATTTTTAAGGATTAATTTCAGTTTTCTTAGTAACTCTAGGTGTGAAACCTTATCGAAAGCCTTCGAGAAATCCAAGATCACATCTACCTACCCGCGTCAATACCTCCAAAAAATAATGAGTTGTTTCTACAAACTGAATAGAAGTGGATAGGGACTCGCAAAAACATTGCTACTGATGCCTAAGCAAGGCATTTCATTCTAAATGTGAAGAGATATGCGAGAATATAACATGCTCCAGTATTTTTTCTGTTGTACATAAAAACAATATTGGTCGGTAATTTGTTACAAGCTGGCTATCTTCAGCCTTAAGAGGAGGAATAATTTGGCGTACTTCCACTCTGTTGGTATTTTGCCACTTGCGAGAGATTTACAAAAAATTACAGTGAAATACTTGGCTCACCACTCAGAATAACAGTGCAGAAAATTATTTGGGATGATATTTACTCCGGTAAAGTTCTAAAATGCAGCTCTTACGCACCCATTTCAGTGTTTCAAGGCGTCGGCGTAACCGTGCTGAATTTAGCAGGAAAACTGACGTCACGTGACCTCAACACCAATTCAATTCCCTGCTAAATTTAGCGGGGAAATTCAGTTTCTCCGCTAGATTTAGTGGACAAATTCAGTTTTAGCGGGAAATTGAATTGGTGTTGAGGTCACGTGACGTCAATTTTCCAGCTAAATCTAGCGGAGAAACTGATTTTGTTAATAGCTGATGTGACACCAAGTTGTGTGACGTCATTTTCCCCACTACATTTAGCGGGGAAACTGAATCGAAGGAGGAGGGGAGGAGGAGAGGGTAGGGAGGAGGTAAAGGGGCATACCTTCCCCTCTGTACCCTCCACCCCTCCTCCTCAAGAGCTGTACTCTAATTTCACATTACAGAAATTTGCAAACGTCTCTCATTTTTTAATGTCCAGGTGAAAAAGCAGGGAAAAGATTCCTTCTTCAAAGAGGGAAAAGATTCCTTCTTTAAAGATTGTTAAGTTGTCCAATGGCGGGGTGTTCTCCAGCACATGGGCACGTGTATTTATGCATTATGCAAGTCGATTTAAAAATCATTGAAACAGTTAGTCTTCTCTGCAGTGTTACCGTGTCACCTGAATTGAGCTGTCAAAATAATAGACATAAAACATCTCTCAAATCAACTTTCGCATGCCCAACTTTAGGTATTTACATTTGGAATGTGAATCTTGCAAGGCGTGCCAACTGTGTTAGTTCTTATGGCCGCACTCTTTACAAGGTGAAATTAGGGAAATCCTTCGATTAAGCATTTGCCTTGCTCATGAGTACATCATAATCTTAACCCTAAGACAAGGAGAAATAAAAGTATCATGGTTTAGGTTATGTTTCCTAACCAGCTCACCCTGCATACTTTTGCTCCTTAAGACACTCTTATTTTTTTAATTTATTTGCTTAAAGTGCAATTCACTTATCACAATACCACATATAACAATGTACGACTTAAAACAATCAGTTTCTAGAGCTTCTAGACTAGAAACAATCAGTCTCTAGTCCAGATACGACGATAACCAACTATAACAATTGAAAATTTAAGGGTTTTAAATTATTGTTATAAGTGGATTGCACTGTATTTCAATACCCTCAGGGTTCAGGGAGCATTACAGAGGGGTGGGTACAAGGTGTTAGAAGATGTATAAAGAAAAAGTACAATAATTAAACAACAAAAAAACTAAATAAATTAACAAAGTGTAGGACAATAGAGGTGTTCAGTTATGGCGATTTTGAAGGATGAGACACCTTGAATGGAGACGACAAAATGGGGAAGGCGGTTCCACTCTGAGCTGGTTTCGGGTAGAAAGGAATAAAAAAAACATTGTGCTGCAATAGGGAATGCCAACTTCATAGCAGTGATCAATGCCGGATGAAAGGTATGAAGGCTCTGAAATAATGTTGATGTTGCAATGATGAGTTATAAAAGGAAGTTTTATGAAGAAGAGAAAGACGTTAAATTTTTCTTTGAATTTGTAATTCTGGAAGCTCAAGATCAGATTTTATTATAAAACATTAGCAAGACGGAAATAGAGAGAATAAAGCTCGCTGACAGATTTTGAGAGGATTTTATGGCGCCAATGTACAGTCATGCAGATACTAAATAGCTCCACACGAGCGGGCGTTTTTTCTGAGGAGCGCTTGACTGGTGGCTTACATTCAAACTAGTGCTGACGTCAGGACTCATCCATCTGGAGCAGATAGGGAGAGAGCCCATTAATGCGAAATGCCGTTTTCATCTACCGTTTCGAGAATTCTCTCCCCCTTCCAATCAGACCGCAGCGACACAGGCACAGATGATAACGGCAGTTCCCGCTGATGGGCTCCCCCCCATTTGCTCCACATAGACGAGTCCCGAAGTCAGCGCTAGTTCAAACGTAAACCACCAGCCAAGCGCTTATGAAAAAGAAAATACCTCGCGTGGAGCTATTTAGTATTCACATGACTGTACATTGAGCCGGGCCCCGTACCGCTGGTGCAGTGATGTGATTGGCCTAAGCCATTTTGGAGCACCTTTGGAGCAGCCAAAGCAGTCCTTTGGAGCAGCAAAAGTGGCTTTTGGAGCAGATATTCTTAAAAAAATAAAAATATTAATTTTTAAGTGCTGTACAAACAAAGGGCACTTTCTGTTGTGTTGTGTTCTGATGTGACGTGTTGCGACGGAACTCGCGGTTTGTGTTTTTACTGCTGAGACATCCTATACAAGTGTACAGTGCTGTAGGCATTGCCGAGCAATTCCGAAACACTGCTTGCCACCGTTTTGCTGGTTCCAGACGTGCCACATTCTTGTCAAAAGTAAGCAAACGTAAAACAATGGATTGCAAGCGTCCCGGCTGGTGCCTCTGTCATGCAATCAAGTTTGCATGCACATGAGGGAAACTTCGGCAGGCTTGCAGTTGCGCATGCCTCGTCGCGCGAGCGGAGACATTGGATGTTCGATCGAAATGTGAAACCATGCCACTACGCTCCGTCGACAACCGATTCCCAAAATTGTATGCAAAATGTAACTGTCGAGAATATGACAAAAAAAAGGTCCAGCGGCGCGTACTTGCCAGGCCGGCAAACAAAGTACAAGCTAAACAAACAAACAAACAAACACACACGCATGCACACAAAGAACCTCAGCATATCGATGCAAGACATCGCAAGTCATGGTCAAAAAGTTCTTGGAGCGCTTTGTGCAACGACTGAACTCGAGACAAACAAGCACTCTGTGCGGGTTCAGCGTGCAGGCATTGCCCTTCTTTGCTTTAGCTCACTTCTCTTCAACAACTTTCTTTTGCGGCAGATTTTTCACACACCGTGGTCCCTCTCCGAACAAAGCCCACCGAGAGAAACCTAGGTAATCAATACTTCGACACAGCAGTCTTTCAGTTAGAGAGGAATTTTTGTAGTAAAGTATGATTTAAACAAGAACAGGAATGTTCATGAACATGCGGCGGTACTTAGCTTCATTTTAGAAAGCGCCAAATCTGCAGCGACGCGGGGATGGCAACACCCGACGTCGCGCGACCACGGTGAATGGAAGGGACCAAATATATTTTTCCCATGGTCGTTACTTTCAGGAGAGTGCGCTTCAGCTCAGAAAGTAACTCCCGCCGCGCAAAAACGTGGTTTCGTTTCACAGCATGACTGCATGGCTGGTACCCGGCATGCTAGCGTCGGAGCATCCGCAGACACCCGCGTCTACTGTTGAAAATATAAAAAAAAAAAAAAAAAGAAAAAAAGGGCGCAAGACGAGACCCATGAGACGACCAGAGCGCGATACGCGAGACGGTGGGAAAACCATGCAAGACAGGATGGACGATTGATGCAGGGTAAGGACAGAACGAGCGGGCTGGTATAGGTCATTCAACTTAAAGAAAACGAGAAAAGCGGCGGCTTGCTCAATTATGGTACTCAGTTTAGTTTCGGTTTTGAAAGAAAACCAAATTGTTTTCTTGGCGCAGGCTTGGCGCAGATTACCCATATTTGGGCACAATGTAGCAGGATGTAGCAGGGTTAGCCCCTTGGCGCAGCAATCACATCACTGCTGGTGTGTATTCAAGCTTCAGGCAAGTGAGTGTTCGATATGAAATCAGCTTGAAAGACGAAGGGGCTGGAGAAAAATTATGACGTAGATGACTTGGGTATGCCATGAGAACTTGTTATATTATGTGAGCTCCGAGTTATTTGTATGAGCCGACATGCACTACTGGGATAACATTTTTATTTTGGACACATGATTTGGGGAATTGAGAAAGGTGGGAAATTTTCATGCTCTTACTTTTGCTTATGTTAAGAGTCATTAACCATTTATTACACTACCGTAAAATCCCGAGAGATAGAACACCTAACATCAACAGCAAATCCGCTGAAAATATGGAGTGGGCTAACTTTTGGTCTACAATCAAGAAAAGTTTTAAAAAATTGCCATTTTTAGGTTGTGCCCCTTCCAAGGTTGTTATGGTGGTGAGGGGCAACGAATCAAAGATGTCTGTACTTCCCAGTCAGCAACGTTCGCTTATATCCCGCCATAGTGAACTAGAGTCATCTACACCGAGGCCATCATTGATCCCAGCACTGCTATTACTAAGAGTGGGCTATCTTTTGGTGTTTAAAAGATATGGCATATCAAAGCGAAAAATAGGGGTGGGCTATCTTTCGGGGGTGAGGCATCTCTCGGTATTTTACTAGATAGAAATAGAGTCGAGGTCAGTTTGGAAAAGAGAATTACTATCACATTGGTTAATTATTTCATGGTAAAGAACAGTCATCTGCAAATAACTTTATACAAGATTGAATGCCAGTAGGAATGCAATTCATATCTATACAATAAGAAAAGCAAATGGCATAAACAGACTTTCTGCTCTGTCCCATTCCCTCGTGGTCGCCTCACTAGTGCTCTCATCTTGTGCCGTGTTGCTGTTCGTGCTCTGTGCAATCTTATTCGGTTCCGATTCTCCGAATGTTGCCTCGATTGTATGTCTAATAAATTCCTTTGTGTCCTCGCCCTCTACACTTATCCCCTCTTGTGTGGTCAATAAACACTGGAACCCTACCGTTTTTCTTTCCTGCGCATTAAAGGGACACTGACACCTCCAAAAGTTTTGTTTTATTTTTTTTCCAGATGATTCATTATGGTGTCAAAAGACAACCAAATAAATTTTTTGCTACAGTATCACATATTTTTTTATCAAGTAAAAAAAAAAAAAAAAACGCAACTGCTTGGAAAAGAAATTGAAACTAGAGGGGGGAGGAAAAACCAATATAGAGGAGGAGAAAGTTACCGGGAGTCAGGTGGCTGTGCAACTTTTTTTTTTCTTCAATCAGCATACTTGCAGCATTTTATAAACTATAAAAAATTGGTATCATATTTATTTTCTATTTTTAATATTGAGTGTGTGCTGTCGATCACCCGCTACTTCGATTATATTTGGTGGTTGTGTCTAAACCATAGAAATGGCACAAGACCACAAAGAAGAGAGTGAGCGCGACTCAAACCGGCCAGTTCTTGATCAGCGGTTTTTGGGCGGAACGAAAACAAATTTAGAACCGCCAATTGAGATTTGGGTAGTGCGGCTCTCTTATGTCATGTACAAATAATAACTTTAACGAACATAAATACCCTGTCAGTGTCCCTTTAATGTGCTCCCAGAACCTTCTTGCTGCATTCCTATCACTTTGATTTACTTCCATCATCCACTGCACTCCAGCCCTACCAATCTTAACCTGCATAATGCAACGCGCAGTGTTGCGTTTTGGATTTTGGGAAGTAGCTTATTTACACGTTTGGGCCTTTAATGTGACCTAAATTGGATACGAGGTTTCCCGTAGAGGGGCGACTTCGTCAGTGCAGTAGTACGACTACTACACTTTGTCTCGATTTTGCGAGGACCAACAGCAAAGGCTACACGGGCGAGCTGTGTTCGTTTGATCGCGCCTCGGCTGCACAAGCGCTCATGGGGCGACATTAGTGAAAACTACCCGCTCAGACTTCTCGCCCTGGCGGTTAGTCTATTCACCCCCACGCATCTAGCTCCGGGCAGGCAATGACTGACAAGATAACTGTCAGATGGACGTTTGTGAGCACACCCATCTCTAGCTTGCGAAAGTGACGAGGTGGGCCGTAACGTAGCAAGCTAACCCGCAACCGTTTTGCTGCTGTGTTTCTACAGCACTGAATGTTTCTGTTTAGCGTGTTAATGTGACTGCATAAAGCGCGCCGTTGCAGTCGCGCAGAGCGCGAGCTCGCACGCAGCGGTGCTCGCGCTCGGAACTTTCGTTTTCGCTCTAGTCGCTGACAAGGCAGAACACTGTGCTCCGACTTCTGAAAACGAGGTACTCACCTCCCACTGATCGTAGAGCCTCTCCAAGTCGGCTTCATTGTAATCACGTATGTCTTTTTTAGCCCACGCGGGCTTTTCCTCATTTTTGAACTTCTTTGCCACAGATGCGGTGACGCAGAGCGCTAGGAAGACAGCGACGGACACGTGCCGCCCTTTCATTGTTAAATTATACGTTGGTCGGGCGTCTTGTACAAACGTCGGCGGATTTCATAAATAAACAGTTCCTACTTGGCTTACACGCTTCGCTCGGAACCGTGCTTTCTACAAGAACTGAAATGAAAACCGTGAAAACTGAATCACACAAAAGCCTAGATACACTAGACAGCATCAGAGCCGGACCAACCGGACAGCATAGAAAAAGCATAGACGATAGTACTAAATATCACCAGTGCCTGACCACCTGACCACTGCCCGACTGCCCCGCACTAACAGCATTCGACCTTAAATCGCTTAAATATTTGGTATCTTAAAACAAAATGAAAACTAAATAAGACAGTCTGATCTATGAGTCTGGTTTATTGGTACATGAAGTAGAGGAAAAATTATTTTAGTTTGTAGCGTAACTGACACCAGGTAGCGCCACTTTAACGAGGCGAAAACTAGCGAAAACACAAACGAAAAGTTAAAAAGTTCGCTCGGTTCGCTGTCCCTGTTCTCTCGGGATTCGTGACTGAAGGAGTGAGAGGAGAAAGCCGCCCGCGCCGCCGGACAAACTGTTGGACAAACCGCCCAGCGCATAAACTTGATCCTGTCAGAAACCTGCACGTGTGAATAACCCTAGGCTTGAATCGCTTTCTCTTCAACAATTCTTGAAAAGCCATGCATGAAAGATCGCTCACTGCGGTTGTTTTCTCTCTATAGTGAGTACCTCTCTTTACAGTCTCTGAATCTTTTTTATACCGAAGAAATTTCACTCCCGGTAATGTCGGCTGGAGACGACAGCCTTGTTGTGGTCGTGTTGGAAAGAAGTGTCGCAAACATTTGCAATACCGCCCTTCCAAAAACTGGTTCTGTCAACTTTTCTGTCCACAGGCAAAACTTTCCCCCCTGTCATCGGCTTGCTCAATGTTGGATCAGGCGTCAGATGGTCAGGTGGCCCAACCTCACTGCTGTTCTACAGCTGCTTGCTCTTCACAAATCTGTGATCGGAGATGATGTTGTCCGCTGGCCGGTCCGCCTTGCCCTTCACACCGAGCAGTTCAGGGGCGTCGAGGGCAATGCGCTCCAGGGAACCGTAGCCGCAGGCTTTATCGTCGACGTTGCCGTCGGCACACCGCCACAACAGGTAGGGAAAATGCCGGCGGAATGTTGGTGGCGTACTACCTTCAGAACCTGAGATGTTCTTCGACACCTTCTTTGCCGCAGCTGACTTTGTTTCTGGACACCGGCAGCAGTGACGTTGCCATCGCCTCGTATCCGGAACGCAATTTAACGACGTATTTCGACACGAACAAGTAAGGTACTTTCTTTATTTTTGTGGCATCTCGCGCCGTTTTTTATCTGGGTTCAACGAAAGGATCGTTGTATTGCGGGGCTCAGGCAAGGCACTACACTGTGTGCCAGATTCTTTATACCTATGTGAGGACAATTATGACAAAAGGTGTACATTAAAGCTTCCAGGAAATTGCCTAGGCAGATTACCATGTGTGAGTCTGCTTTACTTTTTCAATTTAGACAGTTTTGTTTCTGAAATTGTAGCTTCTATAACCCTCCTGCTTTGCTCAGGAGGCGCTCCGGAAAAAAGGATTGCAGCGCCCCCTACCATTTGTTTATTGCTACTGGGTGCTACAAACTGGCACATTTAAATTTGACCTGCGTGAAAACATTAGCCGGTGGTATGAATTCCCCCCTTGCTATCATTTTATGGCACGGAATCTAATGTGGGAAGCTTCTTTCGTTCTTCAACACTTCGCAAAGGGAAGAAACTCAGCGATGCATATTACTGCAAGCTGAGTCTACGCTGTACAAGAAGTCTCAAAGTTGGTGTAGGCGCGCTGTCACTTGCAAAAACAGCGAACTTCCTATGATGTTGAGCCTTAGATGAGCATTACGAGATACGTTAATGCGCCTTATAAGCAAAACACTCCTAAACTGCAGTCTCTCCGTACAGCCAACACGATCAGCTGATGATTAACCTAAAAGATGCGCAAAAGCAGACGCTAGCGATCAAGCGGCGACTGACCGTTTGTCGGCAGAGCAGGTCATTCCTACTGCACGCTGCTTCTCGAGCTCTTGCAGCTTTTCTTATGCATTTGTGCTGTAAGCTTGACGCTACATAAGATCAGCAGTAGAAGCTCCGCCTTCAGCACATGCTTCTTGCTCTCTGTAGTGCATTTGTGTGCTTGCACGCTCGTCTTTTCTAATGAAAGGTCTCGCTGGAGATAGTGCTTTTACTGCAGATCTCATGATGCAAAAGAAGTAGCTCAATCGGATCCCTCTACTAGTAGTACAGTATAGCGCGTTCCTCTTCATAAAATTCGCATGACACACGTTTTGATACATGCCACGGCCACTTGATTGTTTGGCCATGCTTAGCAGATTAACCTGGAGGGCAAGAAAAACAATTATCTCGCTTACTGAGTGCGCTGGGCGGCTAGTATTATTCCCTCTGCTCGACTTTGTACGGTTTCAATGGGAATCTGCAGAAGATTACTCTGGAGTTAAGCCCTCCCTGTTCTTGACAGTTGATGAAACAAAAGTACCATTGATGGCGACGTTTTGAAGCATCGAGGCCGTGCTTGTTGCTCTCGGTTTCGACGTGCTTGAACAAAGGAAGAATTGCTAGCTTGCGGTGAGCTGGGGTCCCTGGGATAACGTTTTGCGGTGGCGACTACGAGTGACACATTTTGAGTAGTGACCACGTGCACGCACGAATAACAGCTGCGTGCAGAGGTAAATAGCCGCCTGAACAGGTTTGTTTTTGTGCGGGGGCGCGGGACTTGTACCACTCGAACACTCTATCACCCGCCATTGGAGGGCGCCGCAATACGTTCAAAGCTTCAGCGCAGGAGGCCTATAGTTGGTGTGCAAGGACGAAACCATGTACCGTGTGATGTGAACATGTTGATTGGTTGTATCCAAACGGCTCACATAAGCTTTGCTTTTATAAAGCTTTTTTTCTTAAGCATATTTGCCATAGAAACTGGAGAAATCTCGCAGTGGCTATATGATAGAGTAGCATCACCGTAGTGGATAATCTGGGTAGCACTTTCAGGATTGCTTCTCCCACCGGATCACTTCCACTAGACACGGATTGCTTTTCTAATGTTTCTCATCAACAGGATCAGGGGATTCATTTCAACTCTTGTTAAGTCTAAAGAATCATTTGATGCATAAAAACAGCTGGATAAGTGAGTTCTTTGGCTCGCATTGGGGTGCTAGTACTTCGCTGGTGTGCAGAAGGTATCAGTTAGTTCTCAAAGAAAAGTCAAGAATATTGTACAAATAGGAACCTCTCCTTGTTGGAGCTTAGCTAGTTGGTTCATATTCTTGGGTGGTGCCAGCAGTTGTATATTTCTGTGTTTATTTGTGTTCATCTGGCACTACCCAGGAACCTCTCTATGCTTATTTCAAACTGTGAGAAGGTCACCATTCATAATGGCATACCATTGTTGCCATCATACGGTTTTAGACATTTTCTGTTTTCCAAGCTAGTCAGAGTGCTAAAAAATTCATTCACTCTGTGAAGGTGGATTACCAGCGAAGCTGTTTAGCACACGACACACCCGCCCGGAGGAGCTGGAGGAAACTATAGACACTTGGGATGGGACTGCCATCGGGCAGAAAGTAGACACGCACGACAGGACCGCCACCCCGGGAGAGCAGAAGGAAAGGAAACTAGGCATGCAAGCACTTGGAATGACGACAAAGAGAGGGTGGTGCGAGTGTAAACATGGCCTATGGAAGTCGCACGGCGGCAAATCTTTAAAAAAACTTTATTATCCACCTGAGAGCCTGCTGACCTTGAATTTATATTCAGTAGATTAGTCATATTGATGACTAATCTACTGAATAGACCTATTGCTAAATTACTTAAGCATCTAGGAGAATGCAGGGAATGGTGCCGCACGTGCCGGCATCTGCAGCAAGAAGTGTCCTAAAGCAAAAGCCTAAAACAAATGGCATCTAGCATGCTTGTTTGTCAACGCTTTATTTTGGTTATTTACTTAAAATCTTTTATTCAGGGAAGGCATACGCGTGCAGCTAGAGTTTTTGGTCATGCACGCGAAAAATCTATGAAACCCTAGCCATAAACAGCTTCGCTGTGAAACAAAACCTGGAAAATTCAAGACCCATTATGATATGTGGGCTGCTGTAAAACAGTATATTGATGGTCATTGATTTTTATAAAACTTTCACCATGCACAAAACATCCACTCCTGATTATGCCTACACAATATCTGATCAAAATAATCATCCTATTTCGAGAAAAAGAATTTGGAAGTTTATGCGTACAGCTCCAAATCGCCGGCTGTCGCTCCACTGGCAACAACGAGCAGGGTTGCTCGTGATGTCAAATGTATCTGAGAGCTGATGACGCTCCCCCCCGTCACGGTGTTGTGGGTTGTGGCAGGGGTGGAACGGCTGCCCCATTTGCGCTATTTTGTGCCAGACGCATTTGTCTGCGCCATTTTGTGGAAACTGCGCCGCAGCCAATACCTCGCGCCATTATGCTCCAAATCGCTCAACGTGCGCCAAAAATTTTTTATTTTGTCTTGGTTTCGGTTTTTATCGACTTGATTGGCAACAATGAGCGCGTTTAGCTTGGTCGTCCTTGCAATTCTTTGTTCTGTTTATTCTTCCTGTGTATCCCGAGTCGGTAGCGCGCGAAAAAACTCGGGGGTCGGATTTTAAGCGCTGCACCGCCTGCGACTGGATTGTTATTCTTCAACCATAAGCGGCTAAGCAAGTCAGCTGAGGTGAGGTCGAGTTGCTAAGCGTCAGATTACCTGAGGCTCTGTGGCCTGGGTTCCGGACGTCAGCCTGTTAAAAACACATTAGCAAAAGATTTTTTTTAGTACTTCATGGTTAAAAGTTGGAACGGCATTCCTGCAAGATAAATCGTGATTTCATTGAACTGAAACGCGGTCCGATCCGAAACCTTGCCGGCCAGCAGCTCTCACGCGAGCTGTAGATCTGCTCGGCGTACTTTAACCTTGCTCCTGCTTATCGCTTAGATTATGATAACTTCGTTATTCGTAATCTGCTGCTTCGATATTGAGTTGTACAGTAGTGTAAACTCGGAATTTGGTGCCCTGTTCCTCCGCGCAACTGCACGTCCGTTGCTTACGCAGGTCACGTGGTTCAGACATATAATTACTATGTCAAGCAGGTGTGGGTTGTGCCATAAGCAGTGCTGGTTTGCATTTTGAACAGCTGAAAGCCACTCAGAAAATATCAAGGACACTATCTGCAGAAACATATGGTACTTGCTTTTTGGTTCTCATTGTTTCAAGATTTCGCGTCCGTTACACTGTTATCCCATCTAGCTAGGTTCCTAACCACTCATGTTTATCTGTGCTGCTATGCACAATTGAAATTGTTCTTGTTCTCGTCAAAGACAGAAGCTGAAGTGCAACGAAGACTGATCTGAGCTGCTCCTAGCCTGCTCCAGAACATAGTTTTAGCTGCTCCCAACCTGCTCCAAAACAGCTGTTTCAGCTGCTCCCGTGGCTGCTCCCAAGTACATTTCATGAGTTCCACCCCTGGTTGTGGTGATAGTGGGAGTCCGTGGTTTTTGCAGGTTGTGTCTGGTGTCAGCTATTTGCAGCACGCAATGCAAGGTGGGGAGTATTGGGGATGTGCTGTGGGGTGCAATAACACCATGAAGATTTGCAGCAGAGTGACGACTTTTAGGCATGCAAATATTTCTATTGTGTAGAACAGTGGTTCTCCATCACCAATGTTTCCGGGTCCCCTTCCTGATAGGTGGAAAAGGCATGGGGATCTTATCCACCGGGGCAACTGTATTGGACGATTACAATGACAAAGGGGTAAATGAAGAAAACTATATTCGTGCGAACCCACTTTGAAGCTCTGAAACGGAGGATAATCAACCCTACTCGCTTGGTTCACATGGTTTCGTCCATTTAATTTTGTGGGACAGCTAGCATCAATAAAGAAAATCTGTCGGTATGCAAAAGCACCGCATTCCTACAAGCTGCTTGCCATGCTGAGCTCAGCCATGCAGCCTCTCCGGAGCCTGCCTGGGCGGGCTCTGCGGGTGGCCACTCCTTACTGGCGGCCGGGCCGCTGCAACGCCATGGAGAGGGCTTCTATGTGGGGTAGCGTTCCTTAGAACTACACCATGTGTCAGCCAGTGGGGTGGCTGCTAGAGACTGCAGCCTTCACTTTATGGTACGGGGATTTAGATGCCGTTTAGTGCAGCTTTAAAAGCTGATAATGCCGGTTCGGTCCATGGGACAGTTATAATGCTTTCGCATTAAGAGTATTTTATTGCTCCACTTTATTGACGGTCCAGAGCTTCGGGGATCCTAAGATGGCCTCCAGGGACCTCAAAGGTCCGCAGACAGTCCCCATTTGAGAACCACTGGTGTAGAAACACAAATTAGAATTTGCAAAATGATCATGAAACTAAAGTGTTCTAAAGCATCGCTTCGACGATTTGAAAGAGCCACAACGATGACTACTGCAGCAGCAAAGGCAACGCAAATGACGTCCTCCCGAGATTTTCACCACTCGTCTGCTTGTGCCGACTAGTAGATTGATCTCATCAGTCAGTGCTGCCACGATACTTCGAGGGAACTTTAGTCTTCTGCACGTGCAGTAACCTCGCTGCTGGTGTGTGCGCTCTGAGCACGAAGCGTCTTGTGTACTTCCTTGTGCCTTCTGTAGACTAAAGCTATGGCAGCATCACGCGTGCGCCGAACGCTCGGTGGTGAAATTGATCTATATTGCCACTCTCTTTCAATTGAGCAACTCTAATACGGCCGGTTGCAGAGCATGGAAGAATGACGGATGCATTTTGCAAGCTCTGGCGGCTAGCTTTCACACTCTTTGGCACGTTTGGTAAGGCGGCATAACGCCGTCCCAACTGTCCTTTCAGATCTGCAACGTACAAGTCGAATGGCGAGTATGTATCGAAGAGGTTTGTCGAGGGTTCCTACGGGGGCACCGTGGGCAGCGACGTGCTGCAGGATCGGGCGGGGGTCCTGGCCCTCAGAGTGGCCCTCGTTGCAATATCTTCCTCGGCGGACATGTTCCCCAACCAGTCACACTGGCAGGGGCTGTTGGGCCTCGCATTCCCGGCTCTGTCAAAGGTAAGGCACTCAGATTTCCCTGGGCAAAAAATGTACCAATTGTGGATCAATATATGAAAGCAGACGATGTAGCCGTCTGCCTTCGATCGAGTGCATCGTTGGCTTGCTACGCCTATTGGGAGATGGCTTTCCAAGCATGACCCCCGATTAACTCCTCAATCATCTACATTGTTGTCCGTAGTGGACTGTGTAGCAGACGTTTGTCTAATTTTTATGAGGGAGGGAGCTATGCCTTGAAATTTCACGATGTAGAGTACCACAAAAATACACCTTTGATATTAAAAGTTGAGATGCCTACAGGCAAGTGCCGATGTTTCCCACCAACTTTGAAGCGAGCCCGGTATTGAGAACACACTATACTTCTAATATCTGATATGGCAACTTTACCATGCTTTTAACTGATGCGCTGCGCGTATAGGCAAACTCTACTGCTGCCACCCACCGAGTTCAGCCACTGAGGTATGCATATATTTAAAGGGGCGGTGCAACCTTTTTAAGGGGTGTCCAAACAGGACACTACAGAACGCACGACTCCGACAAATCGTGAAAATTGAAGCGGATGCGCCCGCTTCAAGCCCGCTTCAATTTTCACGATTTGTCGGAGTTGTGCGTTTTGTAGTGTCCTGTTTGGACACCCCTATACAGCGCAGCTCTTAGGCACCCATTTCCCGCTTGGTCGCTGTCACCTTTGGCATAATTGCACGTCACATTATGGGACGTTTCCCATAATGACGTCACACTTGACGTCTCAAAAGTCACTCGTGAAGGTCACGACCTTCATGTGGCCTTCACGAGGTCTTTACGAGTGACGTCACTAGGGTCACAAGTGAGGAGGGTGGAGGGGTAGAGGGAGGGGAAGGAGAGGCATACTCTCCTCCTCTTTAAGAGCTGTGCTCTAACTCGGCATTACAAGGAACTGTAAATGTCATTTTTTTGTAATTCACACAAATACCGCTTAGAATGAATCCCCGACGTTTATAACCCATAAAATATGCATTAGATTTTATCCCTCTGCAATGGTAGTTTCATAAAAAATAAAAGAATGCGTTCACCCCATCAACTCGCAGCTGGAACAAGCAGCCACGTGATCTGGAGCCGACTATGTGCCACCAATGTTTATCGTCGTCATGCACTGGATTGGGCAAAGCACAGGACATGCTCAGAGTTCCGGACATTTTTAATGTTCAGCCATTGTCGTCATTGCAGCAGTTGCACACAATTCTTTTCGAACTTTTGGTTATTGCGAGCCCAAATTAAGTGTTTATGCAATGCTCGGGTCCAATCTATGGGCTGCATTCAAATATCGTCACTCGCAGGACTACGCAAACACTGCGGCCTCCGAGGTACGTCATTAAGCTTTGCAATAGAGAGATTGAAAGATAATGCTTGCTTTTATCCTTAAAATTACAATGTAATAAAGAAGTTCCTTGGTCAATGGCATTATGTGCAGGTATATTTCAGTTTCGGTAGTGCCACTAAACTCGTGTAAAGTGAAAAACATTCCAACTAAATATCGTTGCACCATTTAAAAAAAATAAATATTGCTACTGAGTTAGTAAACTCTGAATATACTTTTAAGTAGGTTTCCAGAAGTATACTTTTTGGTTTTCTAAAAGCGCTCGGTCACTAGGTTTTTTGGTGTATTGTTTTTGCCAAAGGTTGTGCCACACTTTCTGGCGTCCTGAAGGTACTTTTATAAATGAGGTGTCGCAGTCTGAGACATTGTTCTATTCTCTTTTGTGCAATTGCAACACATCATGATCATGTAATCCTTATATATATAATTTTTTTTTTTTTCACGCAGCTGAAAGGTTGTTGCAAAAGAAACTAGCTTAGGGAAATGTGGTCATGTGCGGCAGCAGCAGAGATGGTGAAATGTGTTTTCCTACAATAAGGTGTTTCAGTAACGCACAGATTACCATTGATATAAAGTTTTGTTTTACTTCTGCCGCCTTTTACATACACCTCTATTGATCAGTCGGGACTAAACGCCATGAGCTGCCAAAAATCTCAAGAGGCAGAATTTTCGTTAGGTTGCCGGCTGAAATTGGTAAATCGTGAAATCCTGTAATGGGGGGGGGGGCGCCCACCCAAGATGAAAAGATAAATGGTGAAAAACATGGAAAATATTTTTAAAGATGCGATAGCAAAACTTTATAAAAAAGATTAATGATAAACACAGGGGCACCAGCTACAAACCAGCGACAAGGGAACTGATACCGCAGATTGTGGACACGGCAAATTCACATTTTACATTTTGATAAACAAGTGGGAATTTGCTACAAACTCCTGTGTCACAGAAAAGGATATTGCAGACTGCGGATGCAACAGATTTGTGTTTCGCGGTGTGATAAACACGCGGAAACTGGCTACAAACTTGGATGCCATAGGAATCGAAATCGCACACGCAGATCGGGAATAAGAAATGTGGGAACTCACTACAAGCTCACATGTCACGGGAACCGATATTACGCGCAGAGATCTCGGACAGGAACGTGGAAACCTGCTGTGAACTCGCTTATCACACGTATTGGCACCGCAGATCGCGCGGCTGACGTAATTCCCGTTGAACATTGCGTGATGTCTGACAGGAATTGGGGTGTGGACGATGTTACAAAATTTTTATGTTACGGATATTTGGCTAGGAAAACGGGATGGGCGATCCCTCGGGAGAGGGCGCCCTTACGGGATTTTACGATAAGCATATATCAGTTGCTGCCTTACAGTGATCTAATGCACCATTGTTGCCTTTAATGCCGAATCAAGACTTCTTTGTCCCGTTTACTTTGTCAGGAAACTTCGCTGAAGTGATAGAACTGAGAGCCCGAATAAATGCAGAATTTTGAGAATACAAATGTGATTGTTTGTAAAATTTGCTTCACGTTAAAAAGTTTTGCTCTTGTATTTTTCTATTTTTTCAGCAAACCAGCTTTATGCAAGTGCTAGACACACAAAAAGGGATCAAACACTTTGAACTCAGCCCTTGCACAAGAGAGAAGACGAGCACATTCGACAACACTGGTGTCCTCGTGAGTATGTTTGTGGAGTTTATGTTTAGATAGTTTAAATTAACTTGAGTGGTTCTATCAAGCATGGGTGGTGTTTTACGAAACTTTAATTGTGTCCAGCTTAAAGGGCATCTCCTCTTAGTTTCGAAGAGTTTCGGATAATAAGTCATTTTACATTATCGTATTTACTTGTATTTACCAATATGTTGACTTTTTTTTTCCTCTCACATAATCAGCGCACCTCCAATTTTCGGCTCCGCAAGTCTTGAATAGCATTCAATTCAGCTAGCCACCAAGCCAATTTTCTTTTGCCGCCAAGTGGTCAGGTCAAGTCAAGCCAAGCCAAGCCAAGCCGCTCTCGTAAAGGCCGCAATTGCATAGGTGCGGTAGTTGCGGAAGTGATCAATCGTAAAACTGGTCGGCGCGCACACTTGACGAAGCTTGGGTCGAGTAATTGCCCAGCCCCGGACATTCTTTGCCTATCAGATGCATTAATGTCAACAAACATGCCATCGTCTGTGGTCCGCTTTCAAGCAGTGAAATTGTGAAAGTGATTAGGCCTAATTTCCGATGCTCCCGGTAAATCTGTTCATTTGATCCGTAACGGAATGGCACAGCGAAGTGCATGCTACGTAGTAGGTAGAGTGTCTGGCGGTAACAGCCGTCTCTGTGAATGAAACTTGATCCGTGGAAGCGGGCCTCGGTGGTCGGCGGTGGGACCTTGTATGAGTTCTTATGCACATAGTCACGGTATATATACCTGAGAGCGCCGCAGGATACTAGCAATGTATATAAGCTAAGAATGGTCGCGTTGCTTTCCGTACTGAATGAGCTTCATAGGGCACTTTTCTTTCTGCAAAAGGCACGCCGAAAGTGCCCCAAAAAGGTTTGCAATTTATAAAGCATGGTTACTGTGGTGCGCCCTTGACCAGCCATGGGTGTGCCTCGATCATTAGAGATGTGCCATAGTACCTTGCCGTGTCATATTGGCACCTAATATAACATGTGCACGAAGTGTGTAAATGCAAAAATTTTACCTCGCGTAATCAATGCCCCCCCCAAATATGTGTAAATTTTCGGGGAAAAAAATTGTGTTCATTCTGAGGCTAAATACGCTAAAAAGCATTAATAAAAGGCACTACATCATTTGCTTTGAAAAAAATCGGATATGTATTGATAAATCTAACTTTAAAGACCAGCAGAAACGGAAACTTCGGCTCCATCTGTTAACATTGGCCTTGAGCCGCCAAGCAGGTAGTAAAAAGAAGCATGGAAGAATGGTCTGAAAACACTGAGGTGAGCTACAGAATGGGTTTCAAAGAGATAGAAGGTTGGATGTTTTGTTTAGAGGTGGCACGAATCAGTAAAAAACCGTAATGGGTACCCTTTCTAGACCCCCGCAGGGGGCACCTGTGAAAGCAGGTGTTTGGAGAGTGGCGTCTCCACGGACCCCGAGCCCCGCAGGGGGCACCTATACCTTAGGTGCTAGGTGCTTGGTGAGTAGCGTCACCACGGACCCCAGCCACGTGGGCCACCATACCCGCACGCAGGGGGCACCTACTTTTGTAGGTGCTTGGTGAGTGGCGTCACTACGAACCCCGAGCCATGTGGGTTCGCCCACCCACGTCTGGCTGTGCGTGGCGTACCCGTGTCCGGGGAAAAGGGGACCCTGGTGGTTGAGCTGAGTCCAGGGTATGTTTGGACCCTTCGGGGCCCCCCGGGCGAGGCAATACACCGCTTCGACCCCTGCTTCTCGTAGACGGGTGTCCTGGCTTGGCCCGACCAGGATGATTCAGTCAGTCGCCTCTTCTACCCTCTTCTTCCTTCTTTCACTTTTCCTTACACCTCTTTCTCTTTTCTTCTGCACTCTCTTCCTTCTTTTTTCACCTTCTTAGGTGGCAAGGGCTAACCTTGAGTGGAAACAGGTCCTGTCCCTGCAACCACACTAGGGTATAGTGCCCGGGCAGCACTGGTAGTGTAATTGTGTCAGCCAAGCCTTTCTTGTTATGGCACATTACCTACCCCCTTGTTGGGCTCCGTGGTGGGCGGTGCACCCGGGCACTGAACTTTTCTCCCATCTTTATGGGTTCTAGGCAAAAAACCACTGATCGGGCCCTGAAAAGGGTCCGCACCGAAGCCACCACTGCAAAAACACCTGACCTTCCTTCGAAATTCTCCAAGTTTTTAGTTATACATTCTGAAGGTGATAAACGACTCTCACAAATGTCCCCATTCTTAGTAGCAAAGGTACTTGAAGGTGCAATTGGGAGAAACTACAAAGCAAAGAAAATGAGCTCTGGGGATTTACTTGTTGAGGTGGAAACAAATCAGCAGAGTAGTGCGCTATTAGGCTTAACGTCTGTTTCTGGCTATGACGTCTCTGTCTCTTCCCACCGAACGTTAAACAGCATTCAAGGAGTTATCTCCGAGGATGACCTTCTTGATAGCTCTGAAAGTGAAATTGTTGAAGGCCTCTCTGACCAAGGTGTCACAGCTGCAAGGCGTATCACCATGCGTCGTGACGGGAACGAGCTGAAGACAAAACATGTGGTACTCACTTTCCAATCGACCGTCCTTCCTGAAGCTGTGAGGGCTGGGTACCTGCGCTGCAGGGTTCGGCCTTATGTGCCAAACCCCCGTAGATGCTTCAAGTGCCAGAGATTTGGCCATGGCTCTCAAAGCTGCCGTGGAAAGGCCACCTGTGCAAAGTGTAGCAAGACCGACCACGAAGCCGATACATGTACCAACAACCCACACTGCGTAAACTGCTCAGAACCTCACCCAGCATACTCCAGATCATGCAAGACATGGAAAGACGAGAAACAGGTTCTCACCTTGAAAGTCAAAGAAAACCTTTCTTATCCTGAAGCACGCCGTCGCTTTGCATTCGTGCAAAAAGGCGGCTACGCCCAAGTGGTGCAGCGGCTACGCCCAAGTGGTGCAGCGGGGACCTGCACCACTGAAGGTTGCAGTGGCAACCCAGACGTCCTTTTTGGACTATGGGAAGCCACGGCAGTCCCCCACGCCCCAGCTGAAGATTCAGCTTCCGGGGCGTGCGATCTCGGCCGGGCGGTCTACCGACCCTCCCGGCCAGAGTGCGAACCCTCGCGCTCCAACAAGACAACAGCCTTTGTCCTCTCTGGCTGTTTCCCAGACCCAGGATGGGCCGGTGGCTACTGCAACCGTCCCTCCTCCGCAGTCTCCTTCCAGGGTGAAGGGTGTACACTCTCGCCCACACTCCCTGGAGAGAGCATCATCAAAGGAGCGGCATGGCTCTCGTGCCGCACCTGCAGCGCCTAAGGGACAGGAACGGGTGGACTCGGGTGACGCTCCGCCCAGCACCTCCTCTGCCCCTTTGGCTGGGTCTGGTCGCGGGCGGCGCATGGCGCCCCGTTCCCCGACCGTAAAGAAACCAGCAGGAAAAGCCTCACCTCAGGAAACTGAGGCCATGGATGAGTGTGAAGAAGTCTCCACTCATGCGTCTGACCAAGACGACATGGAGTGGCAGACTTCTAAAAGTAAACACAAAGGCAAAAAACCTGTGATCCCTCCAATGTGAGATTGTAAATTAATTTATGCCACATGCAGCAGCTTTAGAACTTTCATTTATTCGCCCAGTGTTTCTTCTTTATTCATATTTTAATCTCCTTTTTTAAACAATGACCAATTTCCATTTTATGCAGTGGAACTGCCGTGGCCTTATCAGAAATATAGATGATGTAAATTATTTTATGGACGAGTTGAGACCAATCGCCCTCAGCCTGCAAGAAACACATTTAAATGACACTCATACACAGATTTTACGTCGGCACCAAGTTTTTAGGAAAGATAGACTCTCCCCAAATACGTCGGGAGGAGTGGCACTGGTGGTGCAGAGTGGTGTTGCTTGCTCGGAGGTACCCCTTTCTACGCCCTTAGAGGCTGTAGCGGTACGCCTTCTTGTTGACCGCTTGATCACTGTTGTTTCTCTCTATTTGCCACCTAACTCTCCACTGCATATCAGTGAACTTGAGTCACTTGTAAAACAACTACCTCAACCTTTTTTGATTTTAGGCGATTTTAATGCCCACCACCCTTTGTGGGGTAGCGCTCGCCAGGATTCACGTGGAGGTGTCGTAGAGCGGTTTTTATTATCATCTGGGTTGTGTCTTTTTAATGGGAGGCAACCTACATTTTTTAGTGCAGCACATCAATCATTTACATCCATTGACCTTTCTATTGCATCACCAATTTTACTTCCATGCTTTTCATGGACTGTTTTAAATAACCCTTTTGAGAGCGATCATTTTCCTATTGTTTTAGAAAGCACGATGCCAATTCCTTCCATTCCCAGACGACTTCCAAGGTGGAAATTGGAAAAGGCTGATTGGTCTCTTTTTCGTTTGGAGGCTTTTATTGATTCATCTGTTCTCGTAAATAAGAGCCCTGAAGATGCGACGCTGTACGTTACTGAAGCGATTATAAATGCCGCATCGCACAGTATCCCCCAGACCTCTGGACGACTCCCCAAGAGGTGCAAGCCATGGTGGAACAAGGACTGCTCCACAACACGCAAGTTGCAAAACAAGGCATGGTGCATCTTCAGACGTTATCCCACTCAAAGGAATCTACTTGAATTCAAGAAAAGAAGAGCCAAAGCTCGCTGGACACGAAGGCAAGCTAAAGGCAGTTCGTGGAGAAAGTATGTAACCTCTTTGAGTAGTTTTGTTTCTTCAAAGGAAGTGTGGGATCATCTTAGGAAGATCAGGGGAGACTATCGGTCTTTCAGGATACCTCTTTTTCCATCAGCAACATCGCTTAAAGAACAAGCAAATGTTCTTGGTAAACACTTCCAGGAAGTGTCTAACTCGGCCAATTATAGCGAATCTTTTAAGAAGTTTCGATCAGTAGCAGAAAAACAAACTATTCCTTTGTCTGGTGGTCAGGGTGCTCCTTATAACAAGCCATTTACACGGTGTGAGCTTGAACTGGCTCTCGGCGTCAAAAACGACTCTGCGGCTGGGCCAGATAGGATTCAATAC